CTGTCACATTCACTTTCCCACAAAAGTTTCAGATCCCGTGTAATTGCCAAGAAGCATCAGTGACGTTGCTATCAAGTATCTCTACAGTCGCATAGAAGGTCGATGACTGGTGCGTTTGATTCGTGGGTGCTTGCTCACTACACCCTTATGAAAGCCGACACGGGAGACTGACCAACGGCGTCGCCGTGGACGACGGTCAAATCGGGACAGGCCCCATGTAATACATTAATCGTTTGTTTAACTCCCGAAATTGGTAGAGGTGCCACTTAGTTGCTCCGCCACTGTACCTTTGACTGATAACCCGATCTTCAGTCCATTCCGGTAGATCCAAGACCTACTCCACATTGATAATACACACTCTGCCTAAGTATTCCGTCTCTTCTTTTCTTCGGGGAAGTCTCAGTGCATTATTAGAAGGGCGGAATGTACATTATCGACATGCAGAAGGAATGGGTGGATACCGCCTAGGTTCAGAGGCCGCGCCGCCCGGTGGTGTAACTCCCTATGTAACTGGCTATTAAAGCCGAGATTTAAACTAACAATCGACGTATAACAGTGTAATTTGGGCAAACAAATTAATTGTACAGCATAAGTTCCTTAAGCAGAACAAGTGTGATGAATGGTCAACATTCCGAAGTCGGATGCGATTAGCAGAGTGGGTAGACATTAAATGAGACAATATTGTGACCTATGCACTTTAAATGGAAAAGTTAAAAGAGCAGTTATCGAATCACTCCTATGTAAAAGTGACTTTCGTGATGGAACAGCGCAGAACCTTCGATCTCCGAAGTCTTGGTTTCCATCACGATAATGTATTTGGCGGTCCATGTCATTTTAAATAACACCGAAGTAAAATAAGTAATATTTTCATTCGCACAAGTCATCTTAAATCAAAGGTCAGTGCACAAGTCAGTAGTCTTTAAGGGATAGCCTCATCTGTTGTCAATGCATGCCATACGACGAACAAGTGTTTACCTTCCGCCATGATCTTCCTAACTCATAAAATGTCATACCAATGGACGAAATATTCTCCTTAAATACTATTTGAATTTTTTCTAGACAGCCTTTAATACTATGGTTACTTGTTCAACACTGCTTCAGCAATGGGCTACTTAGGGCTCCCTCATCGTATTCCCACACCTTAACCTACACCCGAGGAAATACCAGTAGCCTCCAAGTTCTTCTTTGCACCAATAGCATACATTCTTTCCAACTATTATGCCTTCTTTCATATTTAAGGTATTTGAGCGCTACAAGTTGATTCTACACGCGTATTTCGACATAACCAACAGCAATAGTGGGTCTTCTTGAATTTAGTGCATTTGTCTTTGTGTGACTCAGTCTGGTACCTCACCTTTTCTAAATGACGCACAACACGGATTTGGAGTCAATTTTCAACGCCGCATTCTAAATGCTTTTTTGCACGCTTAACGTGAGAATCTCCATAGAAATTTACAACTTGATGGCAACAATTCACTACGTAATGAAATAGCAAATTTCATTTTCAAATAAATCTAGTAACTCGTACTTTAATTTAAGGAATAATGAGTACAAAAACTCCGCCTTGATAAAAGCACTTCTATCAAATTAACCGCTCTCATCCAAAGTTGAGCCATTTTAGATAAAGTAAGCGTGAAACTATGTAAGTCGACTTCTAACGTTTAAAAAAAATGGGATTTAATGCATTATCAGCAAAACGATATAAATCCATGGAAATGTGGAACCAGAACTCAGTGCTTTCTATTGTTCCAACTTGCAACTTCATCCCCTTCCCGTGTTGTCTCCATATACCCCACCACAATGCCCAAATTTACCACCACAACTTCAACATCCAATCATTCCCCTTCTAATACGTATATCTCAAAAATTTGTGTGCCACAACGCCTTTATTCGAAATAGTTAAGTACCTGCTTCTCCTCAGTAACATATATAAAACACGGTAGATTTATCTCCATGCAAGTTCAATTGCTATCGTAACTTCAATCAATAGAAACATTTATGAAACCCGTGTACATACGCGCATTTGTTCGTCCAGTCCATAAGAATTTGTGTTAAAACCAACCCGAAGAAACTGGTTCGGGGTGAGAAATGGGTGCGCAGAAAGGCGTTGTAAACTTGGTCGACACTGAGGTCTCTTGTAAAGGCAGGAGATCAAAAAATCCTTCGCCCTCAGAGATAGAGGCGGAGCTATACGCTCAGACTTCGACTTACTTTCCATTCGACAGTGTGATTCGTTTTGATAACCCCTTTCCCAAGTAACGCTCAAGTCTTCAGGGTATGCCGGTTTCATGC